TGCAGGCGTGGCCCTCGTTGACCACTTGCATGCATACGACGTGGCAAGCAGCCTGGCATGAATGGCACCGGCCGCTCAAGGCTCCATCTCCTCCCTGGTTGCAACGACCACCAGCGGCGCACTGCGCCGTCTTCAGGATCGCCGACGGACTGCTGTACCCCCGTGCCCGCGGGCACCGCTCCTGACCCACGCCTAATGCAACCGTTGCGGCCGCAGTAGGCGTGATCCCAGTCACGGCACGAGGAGTGCGTGTAGTGGGTGTACATTCCTGGACACATCTGGATTTCTACCAAGGGGGCCTGCAGGTTCTTGCAGCCACCTTCCACATGGCACGGTTTCCCTGATGAAACGGGGATCATCCTGTCCACTGTTGTGTCGCCGTGAGAGGGTGTGCCCACTGCTGTGGGAGGTTTTGGGTGTGTGCCCTCGCTCGTGGCGCGGCTGCTGCTGCTGTAGAGTGTGTATTCTTAAAAAAAAAAGGCGGATTAAATGAATTTATTTGTTTTGTACCACCACCCCCCCTCCACCCAGAGCTTTTTTTTTGGTGCGGGGGGTTCTGTTGCAAGTGGTCTATTGCTGTACCCTTCTCGCGATAAAAATACCTCAGGCATGAACCGCAGGAGGGGGTCCAACCCCCCCCTCCTATGGGACCCCGGTTGGGTCGTCTAGCTAGTAGAAGTGGAGGATAGGGGCCAGAGGGGCAGACGACAGAGTCCAATGATGGGAGAAAAAAAAAAAAAACGTGGGGACACTCTTAATATTGAAGCCAAATTTAGCATTTTTTTCCAGTGCACCAGGCTAGGTACAGCAATTTTACCACGGTACACTCGGCTTGGGTTGTGTCCATACCATATCACACAGCGTGTGTACTACCTCACCTAAGCATCATAGACTAAGGGTTCTCACGTGCGTTTCACACAGCGGAGCCTAGGGCGACTACGGTGCGGTGAACAGACATTTGAGTGCTGTGTCCCCAAAACGTTCCCAATTGGGCGTCCAGCACCAACACTGTTACTGCAATTTTGCTATACCCAGATGCCAATAGGGGTCCAGCGTTCAACAACACCCAAATACGGTAGAATCGCTGCCGCGAGGTGACGTGGTGACCAAATAGGTACATCTAGAGCGTTAGACCGTGAGCTCCACACAGGAGCTGTAAAATGTATATTAGCAAACACACGAAGCCAAGCATCACTAGGTGATACCAGTGGTCCAAGTGTCATCCTCAGACATGCTCAACAATTTTCGTTTGGACTGTCTCGCTGCATGTAAACGGCCGCTTTCGACATCCCACATTTTGGGATACAAGCTCCACACCAACCTACCCAGCGCGAAACTTTGACACGCTTTCAGCAGTATCATTGCAATACAGCCATTTCCAGCGGGCAGTGAACTATGCGTGTGGGTATCGCACGGCCAGTGTGCCACATGCGGTCCAGTCAGGGGTAGCGCCAACATGAGGCCAGCTACAGGCAATATTCGACCGGCATTATACCGGCACCAGGACTGTACTTCCTTGCATACGGATGACAGCTGCGATCGGCTTCATTTCTTTTCTGGTACTTTGAGTTCGGAGTCATGAGCACCATGTAATGTAACTGCCTCGCGGTTGCTCGGCCAATATAACACAACGTAGTGCGATCATCTCTCCTTTGCGCGGAGTGAGGGTTTTCGACCCCGCACAACATAATCTACTCGGCAACCGTCATGCTTTCCGCGAGAAACAAAACAAAGACAACAAACAAGAGCAGGACTGTACCCTGGTTGTCGAGCTCACGAAGCGATCGGCGTGTTTACAATTTCGGTGCCAAGCGACGAAACCCAACTCCGATGGCTCCCGGGGGGGGAGGAGGGCGGGGGGGGGTTACTCTAGTCATAGTCGTGCATGCCGTAGTCGTTAGACCATTGAGCTATAGCATCCCTACAAGGCCGGGACGGAGCACGCCGGGTTCTCACCGGACCAGGCTCTCACATCACCAAGCGCGAAGCGCCGTGAGATATTCGGCGAGTCGCATGAAGGGTGCGCTGCATCCTGCTAAGGGTGTTCGGCATCTTGTGCTTACTTCCTTGCGTACGGATGACAGCTGCGTATGACTTAATTAATTTTCTGGTGCTTTCACTTCCAGAGACAGTTGTAAGCATCGTATACCTGCCTCGAGGGTGATTGACCATGGTAACACAACTTACTGCGATCACCCCCCTTGCGCGGAGTGAGGGTTCTCGACCCCGCACAACATGATCTACTCGACCACCATTATGGTTACCGGCAAAAAAAAACAGAGGTAACAACNGGTGTTCGGCATCGTGTGCTTACTTCCTTGCGTACGGATGACAGCTGCGTATGACGTAATTAACTTTCTGGTGCTTTCACTTCCAGAGACAGTTGTGAGCACTGTGTAACTGCCTCGAGGGTGCTTGACCATTTTAACACAACGTGGTGCGATCATCCCCCTTGCGCGGAGTGAGGGTTCTCCACACCGCACAGCATG